AAGAGGAAATTGGAGCGGGCGACGTGTGGTTGAAAAGTTCTCGTCCGAGGTGGAGGCATACAGGTCGACCACTGCACCTCCTGGCGAAATATCAGCGGGATCTTGCTCTGGATCAGCAGCCGTGCCAGTTTCTTCTACCGTGTTGCTCACCGTGACGCGTGGATGGGCGAGCTTGTGTTGGTACTTGACGGTGTCGACAATGGCCCAGGTGGTGCAGAGCATAATGTCCTTTCGCAAGGCAAGGTTGATGTTGTCGGACGCTGCCGCCGAGGCGACGGCTGCCGCTGTGGCTGGTGCAGATGGTGCAGCAGCTGCTGCCGTTCCCAAGTCCGAAGCGGCGGAGGTGGCCTCGGACGACAGCAACGATTGGGTCAGCGTCACTCGCTCGTGGTGCGTGGACGCGGTGCGAGCCGACTTTCGCTTGCCACCGCGGCGGCACAGATCTGCAATCGCAGTCACATAGTCGCGCGGGGTGAGGCGCGACGACCACAACAAGATAACGAGATCGGCGAGGCCGCGAACGGCAATGGTCAACGAGAAGACGACAATGAGGGGGTACTCTTTGTGAGAGGTTTCCGAGACATAGCCGTACTGCGCTCCCCAGACTGCGCCGGCAAACGTCCAGTACAGGAAGAACTGAGTGACGTAGCGCCGGCCCTGCGTGAGGACGCGGGATCGGGCTTCGTGGCTTTCGGGCAGTCCATTCCGCAGGGCAAACGTGGCGACAATGAGGACGACCAACGAAGCGAGGTAGAAGATCATGATTGGAATGTAGAAGAGGACCCACGAGAAGGTGTTGAGGTCGCTCGGACCGGTGACCTTGATCCAGCAAAAGTCAAAGAGCGAGTAGCCCCAGCGATCGGCGACGCCCAGCACGATGGCCGTGACGAGGCTGGTGGACCAGACGAACAGGTGGTAGACCTTCATGTAGTCTGTGGGCACAAAGAAGGGGTTGCGGATGGCCTTGAAGAGGTCGATGGAGAGCACGAGATACCAGCCATTCGAGGCGAAGGCCATGAACTGATTGACGAGAGCGAGCGTGAGGCACGCATTCGAGTCGCCGCCGGGCTCCCCGAAAATGTACACAAAGATGAAGCCCAGATTGAAGATAAAGTCGCACATGGCGCGGATGGACGCAATCTGCGACGGATGCTGGCGTAAGCGCGGGAAGAGCGCGTACGAAACCACCTGCAGGCCGCAGAAGAGCGCAGAGAGCAGCCCGCCGATAAAGTACAGCAGCGCGTGGTTGTTGTTGTCGCCAGTGTCCTCGTTCGAGAGCGTAGTGAGACTGCTGCTGTTGCTGTGGTTGAGCATCCCGACAGCTTGGAGCAGCAGCGGAGTGCTCAACGGCAGCGGATTCATTGGTGATTTTGTGCTGTGAACAACGTTTGTTGTGTTGTTTGTTTTGCTCGGATTGACTAAAAACAAGGAGAATCAGAATAATCACAAGAAGAAGAACAAGAAGAATAGAAAAAAAAAAAAAAAGAAGAAGAAGGAGTGCTGTCGTAGATTTTGTTGTTGTGTTGGTGATGGATTTTTGGAGTTTGTGAAGAAGAAGAGGGGAGGAAAATGGACGAGAAGACCGAGAGTGGGAAAACGTTCATGTTGCGGATGAAGACGGAATGGGCCCTACCAACTGATGGATGGATGTACTAGTACGGGCTCTGATGTGATGAATGAATGAATGAAATGGGATTGAGATTGAGGATATGGATGAGGATGAGGGTGAGAGTGAGACAGTCTTCGATTGTTGTTGGACATCCAATCCTATGAAAATCCGCGTCGTTCGAAGCCACCTTGTTCGCAGCCGCGACGCTGCTGACACAGTGACTGCTAATGCCAATGCTAATGCTACTGCTACTGATGCTGCTGATGCTGCAGGCGCCGCTCAAGCAAAAGCTCAAGGCGTAGTAGCTCAGGTGTCACCTCAGCTCTTTGAATTCTCGCCGCTTGACCAGGTTGGCACCGGCTTCCAACGCGTGCAGTGCGCGTGGTTCTACAAGACCAAGCTGGATGCAGATCGCATGCGCATCGCACTCGCGCTCGTGCTGCCGCGGTACCCGCACTTCGCTGGACGCATCATTGCCTGGAAACCGCGAAAGCACACAAGCAGCGACCCAAGCTATGCCGCAGCCATTGCCGCGTCGCATCCGACGTACCGACCCAAGTTTGGCTATGCCATCAACGACGCGGGCATTCCCTTTGATGAGGCCGTGATTCACGGAATGAGCACGGGAGACTTGTCGTGGGAGCGAACCCGAGTCTCGGACTCGTTCGAGGTCGCCAGGGCCGTCCTGATTCCCAAGGCAGGCGATGCGGTGTGTAGCGTGCAGCTTGGCGAGTTTGCCGATGGCTCTGGCACTGCACTCTCCGTGACCACCGTGCACTCGGTCGTCGACGGCCAGGTCTACTTTGCGTTTGTTGCTGCTTGGGCCGCCATGTATCGCCACATTCTGGGGTCTCGAGAAGCCGGTCGCCAACCCCGGATCTTCTTACTTCCCAAGCCAGTCTACCAGCCGTCCTTGATGATCTT